TGCAGTTGATAGGACCTGTATCTATTTTTAATGCGTTAAATCAACAGAAGGGAAATTACATAACCGCCGCAATAATGCCTCATTGCAATTTTACAATAAGCCTCACTGCGCCGAGAAAAGTGATGAGCACACAAGTAAACTTTTTTATCAGATCTCAGCCGCATTTACGGTTTGCACCACTATGCAAAGAGACTGATATACTTGATCAGAATATCAAATAACCCAAAAACAAGTTTGGGCAAAGTTAGTGACTGCAAAACTTTAGAGCTCGAATACCGGAACAGCCCAAATCTGCCTAGGGTTAAAGCTTAAGAGATGATTTATGCATACACATCGTTATTATGTCCAAGTAAGTCAAACAATCATTTCCAACTGTTTTGCATAGAAGATCGTTTGTTTTGCGATACGAGCAGTGTCCAGCGTAGGTTTGTCTTGCTGCGCCGCATCCGTTTCGAAGACAAAACATCCATGATCAGTTTTCCACTTTCGCTGGAGATAAGTGCTGACAGTAGACTACATGCACAGCGCAAACAGAACTGGACCGACCTGTTTGGCGAACTCTGTCACTTGCGCTTCAGTGTCAAACAGAAGCATATTTGCCGCATCTCGAGTACTCAATAATTTAAATGATTTCTCGATAGAGATCGCAATATCGCTTCTGAAAATTACGAATTTTATTGGTGATAATAATGCGACCTAAGTCCGATTCGAGATGTATCTGACAAGATCTACGAAGATATAGAAGTGGAAAGAGGTGCCTGATATAAAAAGAGCTGCTAAATTTCAATTAGGCTGATTTTTCAGTCTGGGAGATGTAGTGAGCAATACAGGATGTCCGTAATCATGCATACAAAATCTAACGTTTTAGTGTTGACATGCGATAACAGTTGATGCCATTGCGGCTTCATCTAGGTGCTACCAATCATATAGAAAATCGGCAGCTTTACCTAAGATTTCACTGAAATCTTATTAGGAACAGAGAACCTAGCGATTTTGGATTACCCTAATTTCACGCATATAAGGCGCGGGGTGGTCCT